CCCCCCCCCCCCCCCCCCCCGCTTCACACATTTATGAAGTGTTCAGGACTAGGTAATCTAATCACCTTACATATACCGCGAGGAGAAATGAGAAGATTACTTACAAATGACGTCTTCACGATATGCTCCGGTGATCGTACATCGCTATTCTCGACACTCCCGATACTTATTTCCGCGCGAGACTTACTTTCGACGGGTTAAAGACGCGTAAAATACGGAACGATGTCAATCGATGTGTCCACGACGGTTGCAGAAAGGTCGAGAATCAAGATGGTCGCGCGATTGTTGAGTCGCACTGAAAATATACGCCAATATATGAACGGCGCCGCGGCCGAAAAAAATGCGCTCTATGAGATACTTCTCTCTCTGTATCTCTTTTCCTAACAAGCTGACGCAACCACCCGAATATTCTGCATCTCTCTCTCTCTCTCTCTCTCTCTCTCTCTCTCTCTCTCTCTCTCTCTTTCTCTCTGATTCTCTCATCGCATTTCTAATTCCCGTTCAATAAATCCGACGATCGCCCGATTCTATTGCTACTTGAGCGAGTCGATGTTTTTAGCAAATGTAAGGACATCGGCGCGACACGTCACGACAAGCACCGGCCGCATATACCGCGAGGAGAAACGAAAAGATTACTTACAAATGACGTCTTCACGATACGTCCCGGCGATCGCACATCGCTAATCTCGGCACTCCCGAAACTTATTAACGCGCGATACTCACTTTCGACGGATAAAAGACGCGATAAACGCGGAGCGATGTGGAGCGATGTGTGCCCATGGCTGCTGCTTGGCGCGAAAAGATCGAGCATTTCGCGCGATTCATTACCAACGCCTAGATTGAATAACCACAATGACAACCTCGTAATGCGAAACGAACGTGATTGGTCTAGAGTGGTTAGTAGCTCGAGCAAGTGGTTAAGGCGTCCGCCGCGGCGCGCCGTACAGATCGCGTCGTCGTAGACGCGCGACTCGTTCGCATCACTGACGCGTTCACATTCATGCACTTTTGGCACTTTCGGCGCGCTAATGAGCTTTTGGTGTACGTGATTGACAGCGCGCGCGTCTGCGATCTTTTCATGCCGAGCAACTGCCATGGACCAACGCTCCGTATTTCATACGTCTTTCGCTTGTGTCCTGTGAGTCTCCTGCGGAAATAAGAATTAGAGTGCCGAAAACAACGACGTGCGGTCGTCAGGACATATCGTAAGTACATTATTACGGAGTAATCTCTTCCCTTCTCGACACATACAGCTAAGGTGACCGGACGTTCCGATTTTTTCGGACAGTCCCGGTTTTTTGCGGGAAAGTCCTGATTTTTCAGCCTTTGTCCCGAAATTTTTCGAGTGCTACTTGGGACACCGATTTGTCATCATTTTCAATGATTGTCAAATAATTTTCGAATCTTTTTATCCCTCTCTCCCCCCCCCCCCCC